TCTAATGCTTATTTCATTATTTGGACTTAACATTACAGCATCTTTAGTCCATGTTTCCCCCTGTCTTATAACTATTGCCTAAGAGGAAGAAAGGATCAACTGCCTTAAAAAACTTTAAATGTGCTTCATTACATTCTTCTGAAATCTTTTTTCATTCTTTTAGTCACATTGTAATCTTCGGTGGAGGTTGCTTAAACAGGAAGTGAAAATAATAGTGTGTGTCTTCACATCCATTATACTGAAAAGACTACATAAATACCCTGAGTTGATTAATCTCTTTTTCTTTACGCAGTGCATTTGAAAGGCTTAACTTACCTTCTGATTTTTGTTGTTGGTTAGATTTAAATACAACTGATGCGTAGTTAACCTCGTCCTCTGCCATCCTTACAGTCTTTCTATTTTGTTTTTTGTGACTCGTAGACAGAGAAGAGTATTGTATTTGAACCACAGGGTATACATGAGAGAAGTTGTTGTTTCCCGAGTTATGTTAAGTCTGTTTCTAACACCAACTTCTGCTTTTGGCTTTGAATGTAATTTGCATACATGTCTGGCTGGAAACACTTTACAGTATGATGAAAAGATAATACTATTACTGTGAGCGGTAAATATGTTGTGAACAGATACCTAATGTGTACCTTAGACTTTAAATGTTGATTTTATATAAACCGTGAAGCAAAACAATTCAATTTATTGTCCCTCTGTGCTGTTATTAGGAGGGTTTTTTTTTCCAACTTGGCCCATAGACTATATGTTTCTATCTGTGGTTCGGCCCAAGAAAATTTTTTCTGGCATCGGCCTAATTATGATTTCTTGTAGATGGTGACAGGCTCTCACTATTTTGTAGCTGTAGAAGTTCATAGTTACCAAACCAAAGCTTGATTCGACTTTTGCTTACACACACATTTTATCTTTGAGCTTCCTTGTTCCATAATAAGGTTATGGATTTCATAAGCTCATATTATTTTTGCATTATCAGGGTTAACGATTCATACACGTCACTGTGAATTTAGTCAGATTTATTTAAAGAAAAATGTGTATTAACTGTTGGTTAGGGTTTTCAAGATCACTTGTTTCAGTCTGCTTAATACTGTGAAGTCTAAACTAAAAACGTATTGACACTGAGTCCTTTTAAGCTTTAAATTCCTAATAAAGTGGGATACAGAGGAGAGGGAAGTATGGAAGGTTCCATGGCTCAGCTCAAATTCAGCTGGAAAAAAGTGCCAGTGGTGAAAGAGTTAATTTTATAAATTAGATCACTGCTTCTCTCTCTGCCCTTTCACTGCTATATCCACCCCTGCTACTCCAACCCTCTATCTCATTTCATCTCTGCTTTCCTTCATCCCACTTAGTCACTCCATCCATCTTCCTCTCCTCTCCCCTCCTCTCCCTTTCCAGCCTTGAGTCTCCTCCCTCTCCATCCCCCTCCCCTTTTGTCCATGTGCCCGGCCCCTTCCTAGTATGAAAGGAAACCCTCTTGCAGGCAGTCACATTTCAGGGGTCTCCCAGAAGCCTCACTCTCACGCACACACACGCTGTCTCAGGCCTGGATACAGGGATCAGTTGCCAATTTCTAATCAGCATACCTTTGAGTGAGGCTTCAGTTTTTCATATCTCTTCTTTTTAACACTGACATGGAGCTCCACAGTTTACAAAGGACCACCCACACCAACCACTTGGGTGAGGAGAAGCAGCAGATGCTGAACCTAAATCAACGACTCGGGACCTACCTGAACCGAGTTAAACTCCTAGAGGAGGAAAACATGCTGCTTGCAAAGGAGATACAAGCTACGAGACACAATAATCAAGGTGCTTTGACACGCAGAAGAGGCCTGGAGGAAGAGTTGCGGCAGGCAAGACTGGAAGTAGATGCAGTCTGGAGAGATAGGGTCCTCACAGAGCTGGAAGTTGGCAAGTTGACTGAGGAACTTCAAGCGCTGGACTTGTGGAGACAGAGGGAGGCTGAAGAAAAAGTGAAGGCCAAGACAAAGCTGGAGCAAAGCAGGAAGGAGTTGGAGGAGGAACAGAGGGCACAGATTTGGCTTAGAGAGAAGGTCAACCAGCTGGAGCATGAGATGAGACTCCTCATCCAAACACATGGGGAGGATGTAGCCCACCTGGAAGCCACACTGACCCATTCTAGAGCTACATTATCTTACACGTTTTCTCAAAAGGGCAACCATACACCGAATCTCCTTCAGCTGGGACATGAATACTCTCAGAGTGCCACCAGAGCATGGCAGGAGGCAGCAGAGGCCTATCAGGGCCAGCTGACTCAGTTAGAGGAGTCACTTAACCAGGCCAGGAGCCGTTTGACCCAAGTGGGCCAGGAGAAACGTGAGAGCCAGCTGAAGCTCCAAGCCCTGGAGAAGGAGATCATCTCAGCTCAGGAAATCAGACAGCATCTGGAGAAAACTGTTGCCCAGCAGACAGACACATACCGCCAAGAGATGCAGCAGCTCCAGGTGAGTGAAACAATCCATACATGTTGGGATGCAACAGTTATTACAACAGTTGCAATAGTTGAATGTACATGATATTCAATCCAATTATTACCCTTTGAAACTGAAAATTGTTCCGCATATTTGCACATTAGGCAACTTCTGACTGGTTGGAAAAGAATGCCAACAAAATCATTGGGTGTTGGTTGTGAAATATGCAATAAGTCATTGTGGTTAATGTCACAGTCTAAGATAACAAATGGACAAACCACAGTGGAATTTGAACATGTGATAATTGGCAGACTCGTGACAGCTGGACAAAATAGAGTCTGTGGATATCTACTGTCACTACATTTGATTAGCCATGTCCTAAGAGATCAAGTACTCAGTAAAAAGAACAAGAATACTAGATACATTTTATTTGAATATAGATTTTCCTGGAAATATTCAAGGCCTCCAGCAAAATATGCAAGACGCTCCACTAAAGGCTTTTGGAAGCATTTATGAGTCCCCCCCCCTCCCCAGGGATTTTGCTCCCTCGGCATCCACATTTTATATGCTGATGAAATGAACACATTTGGTTATGAAAGCAACTGGGGGCTACATATTTATAGGCTGGGGTTGATGGGATTAGTTCTGGGTCACAGTTAGGTCTGAGGGGTGAAGCACCCACACTAAATACTTTTTATGGCATTGCTGCTTTTTCTCCCACTGAGGTCCCAGATCACTAGCAGACGGTTATATTGCTTGTAACAGTGTGTAAATCTAAAAGCACGCTAGTGTGATAAGTAAAACAGGTTGAATAACTTAGATGCAGTAACAATAAAAGCCTGTAAACAACCCACCACATATAACAAGCAAAAGAACAAAGGAGATTTATTCCTGGTTAATATAGCACAACACTGAATTCTTTTCCAATGCTTTTTTTTAACCTCTTCCTTTTCCTCTTCTGCTTCCTGTTTTGGCAGGAGCACTTGGAGGCCTTAGAGGTGGAGAAGCATGAGCTTGGTCAACAGATTGATCATATCATAATGGAGAACCGAGGCCTGATGCAGCTGAAAATGTCTCTAGGTCTCGAAGTAGCAACATACAGGTACACTGAACTGCCTGTTGCACTGTCAATTCTAAAGCACCTTTAACACTTATTTTTCTACCTGATAGTAGAAGTAGAAGCTAAAGTGTACTTTACCTTAGAATTTTTTTTACTATTTTTTTCATGAGTGTGTAATGTATCAAAACCATGGGTTACTTTGCACATGGAGTATCTTTCAAAGTGAAATAAAGTTTGTCTTATGTGCTTCAGTAACAGAATATAAGATTAGTGGTTACAAAATTATCATATTTATCTCTGTCAAATTTATTGTGAGTCATTATTTCATCAGCAGTACTACCTGATTTCGCAATGCCACTATTGCATGAGGTTCACACAGTTTGCAGAAGGTCTTCTGTTTTATTTATTAATAAAGAGACTGTCTAATGCTGTGTCTGCCAGCCCCCCTT